ACCAGCAACACACTCTCCAGTTTCACTACTCCATACGGACTCCGCAGCACCACGTCACCCTCTCCTGTCACTGGTAACTTTCCACTGTTACCTTGCAGTATATAATCCTCACTCGACTCCCTCACATTCTCCATCCAATCTGACCTGAATGACATGTGACGTGTGCATCCGCTGTCCATGAACCATGTCGTCTTCTCACGTCCGTCCGTCTGCCGAACCTCCATTGGTAAACGCACCACGTTCGCAAGATGTGCTCCCCCCAAAATCGGATCCTCTTCTTCCTTCTCCGCTTCCGCCACGTTAGCCTTGGCCTCCACGTTCTGCTGCTGCTCCTACTTCAACGGTCCTTTGTAGTTACGGCCGTTGGGATTCAAGTAGCAATCAATTGCACGATGCCCAATTTTCTTGCAGTGATGGCACGCACCATTGAACCTTCCGTGTTGCTGTCCACCACTCCATCCCGCACCGTTCCCTTTGTAGTTTCTACTCCTCGGGTTCTCCACACACTCAAACGCATGATGCCCGAGTTGTCCACACTGGTAGCACGCTCCTGAGCTCCTTCCAGCAGCTGCCGCATTCACCAATGCAGGCTTCTCCTCCACAAAGCCCCTTGTAAACTTCTCCCGTCGCTTCTGATGCTCTCTTGCTCGCTCCAACGCCTGAAGCATGGCAATAAGCTTCGTCATATTCTCCGGTGGGTGGCAGATCAACGCCGGCCGCTCACCCGCCCAATCTTCAGGTAGCCCGTTGACGATGTGCCCTATCATCGCCCGCTTGGTTTCCGGCTCGCCCATCGCAGTTAAGTCGTCGTTGTAGCTCCTCGCCATGTTGACATAGTCAATAATCTTCTGGTTCGGCTCCATGGTCATTAACAGCAGCTTCTTCCTTGCGTCGGCGATGCTTGCGTCCATCTGCCCGAGGTATGTAGACTCCGTGTAAGCCCATGCCGCCTGTGCAGAGTTCTCGCGCTCTGCAAATTCGTCCAAACCCACTGCAATCCCGTCAGCAATGGAATGACATAACTGAAAAAACGCATGCTTACTCCTCTTCTTGTATTCCGCCTTTTCTTCATCCGATCTCGCCTTACGCGCGGCTGCGTCACCTTCTCCATCCGGTCGGTAGTACTCCCAAAAACCGACTTCCTTCGCCCTCATTATGAACTTCAATCTCCACGTGCTGTAGTGTTGGCCGTGGAATCGTTGGGCTTCACTGAGCCCCATGGTGGGCTTTGTCACCACCCCTCCTTGCGCTAGCATTTCCAGAAGTGCCTTCACTTGGGGATCTCCAATACTCACAGAGGAGCCCGAACTAGCTTCCGATTGTCCGCCGACCATCTCGAAAGCTTCGCTCTGCACTTAAGAATGCTTAAACGCCACTTGCACCAGCTCTGATACCAGTTCTCAGGATCGTAAGCACCTTAGTCGGCAATAGTCTACTTGCTATCGCCTATCGTGTTCTCCACGATCTCCCGAATCCAATGATATGCGCAGCTCTGCTTGAAGTTGTCAATACACACTTCAGCAATTTTCAGAATCTGATTGGTATCAATGTTGTATTTCCAGAATGAGTACAAACAGGTTTATAGTCAAGCAAGACACAAAATGCGATTCGTAACTTCACTTGTTTCCCAAGTAACCGCGTGCGCCTCGTTTCACCCCTAGTCGCACACGCAACCGAACCGAATTCGGTGAACACTCCGCAAGTCCGAATCCCGAACTTTCTCGAACGCGCCTTGGTCTCGAAGCACATTTTTCCCCTCGTCAATCTCATTCTCGATGCTTCTCCTTCTCTCTCCCTCCTTCTAGCACATTTCTTCTCGATTTCTCTCCCGCTTCTCACGCCGTAGCCTCTATTCCCCACCGTAGGCCGATTTCCACCGTTTCACACACGCGCTTCCATTTCGCTGTCATTCCGCCGTCGTAGATGCTTTCGCCTTAGGTTCCGTGGTTGGGCGAACCAACCCTAACATGTGTCAAAGAGGAAATCGTGTGAGACGGGGTCATATGCGTTCTGAAAGTCGACCAGAAGCAGCAGCCAGTTCCCATCTTCCGCCACAGCTGCGTCGATTACATCTGCCACGGTTGATGGCGCATTCGCAAGCCTTCTTTCAGGTAGGAACCCGTACTGGCATTACGAGATGAGACGCGGCAACAACTTCATCTGGTTGACCAAATCCTTCGCCACCAACTTGTAGATCGCACTTAAAAATGCAATTGGTTTGTGATTCCCTAACTCCTCGTTTCCACTTTTTTTATGCATCAAGATGGTCACTGCGGACATGAAAAGCTCCGGCAGAGCAGCACTCATTTCGAAATTGTTGATCAGCTTCCTCAGCTCCCCCTCCGAGCAGCTCCCACTTTTGTTCAAAGAACTCCTTTGGCAGCCCATCTTGGCCTGGTGACTTCCATGATGGTAAGCCCCTTAGCGCCTCCCTGACCTCTTCCTCTGTCCACGGCCTGACCAGCTCCATTCAGTACCTCTGATAGTCTTTTCCCGGGGTTGTTCTGCAACACTATCCCTGTCCCGGTGCATTGCAACTCTGTGTAGGCCTTGTGGAAATGGTCTGTTGCTGCTGCCAGAGCTTCTCTCGCCTCTCTGTAGCACTGCCCGTTATCAAGCACCTCCTGAATCTCCGTTTTTGCTTTTCGTGATTTGATCCTCTCCAACAGGTAATGGTGACGGGGCTTCTCCTCCCAGCTCTTCCGTCATTCCCCCCAGCACTTGCAGATGATCTTTGTTCCTACAACTTCAGCGCAGCATCCTGATTCACCAGCTCCTCATAGAGACCTGGCGCTGTGGGGTTGGCCATGACACAGCATCATAGACGTTACACTTTCCCTTTCTGATGGGCCATCATCGCTCTCACCCACTTGTGTATGCTCTCATACTTGCCTGCATATGTGAGAGCAGTCGGTCCAGCGAACGGTTTGGCTTCCCCTCCTATCCTTCCACCGCTGCAATGATATTCTTGGTTCCTTCCTCTCCTGCTTGTGATGCCTGCAATCTCCAGAAGCCCAGGCCCCCACCTCCAATTACCGCCGCCCTCACCATGGCAACCACTGTAAGTACCAATCAGTATTTGACCTATGACACGTGCCCTAAGAGAGAGTGCGACGACAGAATTATGTCTATCCTTGAGCTCGCCCTAGCAGATCTCGAGAGAAAGGTCGACTCCTTCCGTGTAGGGTGACATCTCAAAAATGCTGAACCGTCTGTTAACGGTGGTGGCGATATTTCGAATATCACAGGCTTTGGGGAGGGGGTGTAAACTTCTATCCACAGGCTGATGTGGCAAATGCTCGTTTTTTGTTGTGTTTTGCCTGTTTTTCACTTGTGTTTGGCAGGGAATCAGCCGTGGCAGCGTAGGATATCGTGTCGCGCTCCTTGACATTTCACATCAACGGCCCAAACTCCAACTTTTTTTCGTGCGGTCGAGATCGATTTCGATTTGGCGTAATGTTGTCGTTGTAATCGAAACTAGTCAATGACTGTACAATTTTTGGGGGAAACCCCAGTGTTTGCAAGCAGGAAACGTGGCATTTTTTTCGTGAGGGAAGATTTTGTGACGCACGTGTCTGGTGTTTGCAAGAACGTGGTCATAAACAGCCGTTTCTAGAGTACGTAAGCAAGCAGGTATGTGTCACGGTTCTTGAAATCTCGTGACGCCTTGGTCATACGAAGTCAAAACGCACTGTAATATTTGAAGGAAGTGCGTGGTTTCTTCCTATTGGTCGCGTCAAATCCGGTTCTCCAAACAGCACTTTTTCGCTGGCCAATATTTCGCAACGACCGTATTGGCTAACGGGAATGTCGCAACGTCACTCGAAGTTCAAAATTCGCGAAGTGTAAAATTCGCGATGCGATTTGAAATGTGTGAGTGAAATGCGCGACTTGTTAGTGCGCGTCCTTTTTTCTTCGGGGGGAATGCGGTGCAATACGACGCTGCACGATTTTAAATGCTTCAATAATCAACTAATTCGGTTGCGATGGGTATCGATTGAGAATGATACTAGAATGACGCGCCCTAATGCACACCCCTTCGAATTGAACCTGAATCTCAGCACATCTCACGACAACTATGTGTTCACGCGCTTCACATCACCTCAACCAGGGGGGTATAATATTGATGCAAATCACTCATGCTTTGTTTTTTTTTTTGCCTTCACTACACAGAAATTAGTCCTGCATCCGCCACTATGGAATGCCCAGACTGTAGTTCGGGGCCTTTCTACGTGTATTCTGCTCTAGAATCGCATAGATGTAGTGCGGCTTGCAGAATAGCTGCTGCATCCAGAGGCGCAGAGGCGTCAGATTCCCCACCAATCCAACCCCCCGCTCAACGTCGGCGCGTGTGGAGTCCTTCCAGCAGTGAAAACGTATTCGTACCACCTACGTTTGATGAGCCAGCCGATGAGGACGGTGTGGCCGCTCGTGCCGCCGATGATCCGGAGGCATTCATGGCACGCATGAGTGACTTGAATGGGATAGCGGAAGTTTCTCAGATTCCCAACGGATCTAATCCACGCCCCGCAGCTCCATTCTCCTTCAAGGACGAATTGGCACGCTGGATTCTCCAAGAGCATATATCTCAACGTTCGGTAGCTAGATTAGCCATGAAGGCGCGTCGTGGGCGGACGTTGCGGAATGGAGATCTTCGCGAGATGTGTACCGACATGTGCAATCGAGAGTGGCTGACTGTGACCGTTCGTGGAAGAAGGGGGTTACTTTGGAACAAAGGCATTTTTGACCTTTTGGTACTGTGATAGCTTGAAGGTATGTTGGAGTGTTTGCTCATGTTTTTTTCAGCGCCCCACTAATCCCTCGTTCCGACATGGCTAAACATTTGCAGGCCCTACAAGATCTGTTGAGTGAACCGAGACTTAGCCATCCGCTTGTTACACGTGCGCATAGAAAGAGAGTGAGGGGCGTGAGGGTGTATGACGCCCCCGAAACCAGCAATTTTTGGAACGACGTGCAAGTGAGTGCCTCCCCATTCTGCTATGCACCTATCCCTGACCGTTCATAAATTTTCCAGCACACCCCCTCTCTCCCTGCTCCCCATTCTGCTATGCCAGCCTCCCTACCTCTCTCTCACCATCGTGTTTTTTTTCCAGCACACTACCTCTCTCCCTGCTATCCATTCTGCGATTCCTGGCTCTCCCTACCTCTCCCTCACCATCCTGATGCATTTCCAGCACATCCTCTCTCTCCCGGCTATGCCCGCCTCTCCCAACCTCTCTCTCACCGTCCTCATTGTTTTTCAGCACACCCACACTCTCCCTTACTCCCATTCTGCTATGCACCTCTCCCTGACCGTCCTAAATTCTTCACGCATACCCTCCCTCTCCCTGCTCCCCGTTCTGCTATAACAGGCTCACCCAACTTCTCCTTAACCATCCTAAAATTTTCCAGCACACCACGTCTCTCCCTGTCCTGATTCTACTATGCCCGCCTCTCCCACCCTCTCCCTCACCGTCATATTTTTTTCCAGCACACCACCTCTCTCCCTGCTCCCCATTCTGCCATGCCCGCCTCTCCCAACCTCTCCCTCAACGCCCTTTGTTTTTCCAGCACACCCACTCTCTCCCTGCTCCTCATTCAGCTATGCCAGGCTCCCCCTGCCCCTCCCTGACCATCCTAATTTTGTCCAGCACTCTTTCTCTCTCCCTGCTAGTCATTCTGCCAAGCCCGCCTCTCCCAACCTCTCCCTGCTCCCCATTCTGCTATACCACAACCTCCCTGCCATCCCTTCTCTCTCCTGCGCTTCCCTCTCGCGCCTTGCCCCACATTCTGGTTTTCCAGTCCCTCTCTACCTCTCCCTGCCATTCCTTCTCTCTCCTGCGCTTCCCTCTCGCGCCTTGCCCCGCATTCTGGTTTTCCAGTCCCTCTCTACCTCTCCCTGCCATTCCTTCTCTCCCCTGCGCTTCCCTCTCGCGCCTTGCCCAGCATTCTGTTTTTCCAGTCCCTCACTACCTCTCCCTGCCATTCCTTCTCTCTCCTGCGATTCCTTTTCGCGCCTTGCCCCCCATTCTGGTTTTCCAGTCCCTCTCTACCTCTCCCTGCCATTCCTTCTCTCTCCTGCGCTTCCCTCTCGCGCCTTGCCCCGCATTCTGGTTTTCCAGTCCCTCCCTTCCTCTCCCTGCCACACTCTCTGAGTTTCCAGCCCCTGGTAGACCCTCTGTTGCTCCACCGTATCACCCCTGCACTTCCCTCTCTCTCCCTGCCACACTTCCGTGAATTCCAGGGTCACAACGGCCTGTCCCTACCCCTTCTTTACTCTCCTGCACTTCCCTTTCTCTCCCTGCCACACTCTCTGAATTTCCAGCCCCTCGTAAACCTGTCCTTGCTCCACTGTATCGCCCCTGCCATTCCCTCTCTCTCCCTGCCCTTCCTTGCGTGATTTCCAGCCACTCCCAACTTCTCCCTTCCACTCCTTTTTGCTCCAGCTCTCCCAAGCCTCCCCTAGCACCACTCTCTGTTTTTCCAGCCCCTCCTACCTTTACTCGCTCCACCATTTGTGCTCAGCACATCCCTATCTCTCAATGCCCTTACTCTATGTTAATATAGCTACTCGGATGTGAATTCATATTCACCTCCTTCTTCCAACCCAACCCCCCAACAGGATCGCCTTGGCATCGACGACGTCGTTGCCACTCTCATACTCTCGTCGGATGAGACAATAGCTGACGGTCGGGGAAAGGCCAAGGGTCATCCCATCTATATGTCATTGGGAAACATCCATCATGAGGATCGCTGGAAACCATACGGGCATGCGCTCATTGCAACGTTACCGGAGTTTCCGGCGGAGTACACGTCGGTTGACCGACTGCAGATCTTCCAGTATGTCTTGCGCCTCGTTCTTCAACCATTGAAAGATGCTTCACACGTGTAAGTGCCCCCATACTCATCCCCGACCTATCCTGCTCTCCATGCTCGCCACATGATGCACTTCCTTTCAACACTATGGGCCTTGCTTCTGTGACTGCCCTCCTACTCATATCTCTCCTCTCCTTCTCAGGTTGCTGCCCCATGCTTCGCTCTTAGCATGCTTCCAACCTCGCTGCCCTTTTGCGTCCTTTACTTCCCTCCTCTCATCCCCCTACCCTCCTTCTCGGATTGCTGTGCCCATGCTTCCCTTCTCTCTAGTTGTCTTACCTCTTTGCCCCGTTGCCTACATTTCGATTTTTCAGGGGGACCCGTGTGCATGACCAATCTGGTCACGTTTTCACTGCCTACCCAGCACTATACGCCTATGTGGCGAACTACCCAGAGACGTGCAAACTCACCTGCACCAAGTCTCTAGGTACATTCTACCCCTGTTCCTTATGCAAGGTCCACAAAACTGAGTTAGATTCCTTCACGCAGAGAGACGAATATCGCACATCCGAAGAACAAGATGTCATCTACAAGGCCGTCTCTGCACGGCAACGAGGGGGGCCTCACCCGCAAACCTACAGCACTCATCATGTGGAGGTAAGTGTAACCCAATCCACTGTTTTTGCGTCATATACTATTCATGTTTCACTCAACACTCTCCTGTCATTCTCAACCCAATGCAGTGTGCGCTTCATGGCTTCCGTTTCGAGTCAGAGCCGTGGGGCAGCCCTTATATGGCGGTGATGCCAGACCTAATGCATCAGGCCGATCTTGGCATGCTGGAGCACATTATTGCCGCCTTGAGAGGGGTCATTGATTCTGAATACCCGCCACCTAGCTTACGTTTATACCTTCAATGTTCCGCTCGCAACCTCCCCACCCACCCCCGTACCTTCTGTACCTTGATCCTATGCTCGCAACCTCGTATTCCCACCCACCCACCCTCGCAACCTTCTGTACCTTGATCCTGTACTTCGCAAGCCTGCATTCCCACTCTGATCCTATGCAACCCGCGCTTTCTACATTGGCTTCAACCCGCGCTCCCTTGCACTTTGCATATCCGTCTTGTAATGCATGGCAGGCAAAGTGCAACCAAGCGGTTCTGTACTTCATTGCTGAAGCTCCCCCGAGGGAGATTAACTTCTGGCCTGAGCCGCAGGAGTTGAGGCAGCAACTCATCCGTACGTATCGGATGGTGAACGTTTCCGAGGAAACGTTCAACCTTGTCATGAATTCTCACCCGGAACGGGAGAGGATTCTTAAAGACAAGGTCGGCGAGCGTCGGGGCAACCTCTTCACGCAGGTCAAGACGTGGGCACATGGGCCAGGCGGGTTCGTCAGGGAATCGAAGATTCCCATGCTGGCTGCTGAGAACATGGCGTCGGTGCAGCGCCGCAACGTCCAGCAGTGGCACCTTTTCTATTTTGATGGTAAGTACGCGCCTCGTTTTTAACGTTGCATGCCCCGAGCACTTCCAGCCCTTGTTTCCTGAGTTCCACATGTATTGTGCTTACATCAAGCGGATTTCTGTGCTTGCAGCCGTTTATGGCAGCAAGTGGCACTGCGATCCTGACACGGGGCGCCCGTTTGCCAACAAGGCGTTTGATATGGCGCTCTGCAAGGGACTTGGCGGTCGCAGGTGTAAGACGATGTTTGCCAAGATCCCAGTGGTGGCAACGATTTTCCATGCATTGTTTGTTTCCCTTGCCAATGATCCAGTTCTTGCTCTAGCACACCCTCTCTCTCCCTGCTCCCCATTCTGCAATGCACCTCTCCCTCACTGTCCTGATTTTTTCCAACACACCCCCCTATCCCTGCTCCCCATTTTCCCATATATTTTCAAATGTACCCTGCAGGTTGAATGGCCCATGGCAAATGCTGGGAGCCGTGACACGCCTGCCCTAGATGGCAGTGACTCCAACAACAGGAGGGAAGTGCAGCTGAAAGTGGGGGTGATCATTGATTGGATTAAGGATAGGTTATCCCGGGGGGATAATATCTATCGCGACACTGCCCCTGCAGGCTTTCAGATGGGAGCAAACCCGTTAGTGCGTATTGTGATCGCAGGGTTTGAGGACGAGTTTGCTGGGTTGCTGCCATAAACCCTGGTTTTCTAATTGTAGTTTTGCTGCTCTAATGTATGCTCATTTTCTACAATAATTTGATAATCACATTATTTTTATTACTATTATTAGGGTGCTACCATTAGCTAATGATTGGGTGTTTTCAGGAAGTTCAGGCCTAGTTATGTTGGCATTTGAGTGAATGTAAACAAGGACAATTTGGCTATTTTTATCAGAACTAGAAACAACTGTGAATGGCACTCTGGTTCACTGCCATTTCAACCCCAGTAAGTGGAGAACTCTGACCCTGGCGCCATGCTGATTTACGGCCAATAAGGGCCATCCCGGGTAATTAACGGTCCGGCAATTATCGACCCCAATACGGCTAAAGTCTGCCTTATTTACAGCCGGGCAATTATTGGGCGTAGATACATTGTTTACAACCTAAGTTTGGATGTTAACGCCCGGAAATAGACCTGACATTTTTTAGATGGAATTGTGTGGAAGGCATCCTGCAGGCCCCAGTTGGTGCATATCTGCAGAAGCCTTTGGTTCTCAGCCGCCGAGCCCAGTTCGGTGGACTTGTCCAGTTCTTGCAACCATGTTCAGGTCCCCCATGAGAATCATGTGCACCTCTCCAGGTATGCTCTGCACAAACGGCGTTAATACATCCCTGATAACTCTCCTCTTTGTGTAGTCCGAGCGGGAAAATAAGCAGCAATAAGACATAACTCCTGCTGCTACCAACCAAAGGTCACACAGATCAGCCTCCCTGAGTCCTGCTGGATGACGTCTGTGATTTTTATTCCTTGAATGAAACCAAGTATGGCCACTCTACTTGCTCTCTGACTTGGTGACACTACTTCTGCTGCTTCTTTTATAAGTTGGCTCCAAACGTTGTGATCTGCTGGTATCCTTGTGTCCGTTAACACAACAACGCTAGCCACTTTCCAGATCCATTATTTGCACTTTCTCTTTTTCCGTTGCTGCCAAGCCCATTGATGTTGAGCTCCAAAAACGTTCACTTGTGGTATTTATCCATCTGTAAACTGCTTTAAGCCCCACAACATCTACGGGCGATAAGACATCACTAAAGGCAGAAAAGCTGCTACAACAACTGATAGAATAACTGCCATGACACCTCCTGCTAATGTAATACCTTCGACTATAGCTCCTTCTACCACGCTGCAGAGGTGAGCCTCTATTATGCTAGCATGACTCCTCCTTCTTCACGAATTCTTTCTTGAAAGTGTTCAGGCTTTGAGTGGCTTTCGTTGCATGCGTTGCAGATCCACAATTGCGTAGCCCTCCCCTGTAGCACGTCTATGCGATGTGAGCAGCCTTGTGCCTTCTTGCAGGCTTCTTGCACACAGACCCACTCCTCCCTCGTTCTTCTAGTGGATGTCAGGACCAACACTGGGTCCTTTGAGACGCGCTAAAAGAGTTCTCGGAATTTTAGCAAGGCCGTGAGGGGAGGAATCGAGATAATATCGTCAGGTCAGATCCCAACAAAATGCAATGCAACCAACTGCTCCAAAGTAAGTACATCGCTCCTTATACCATTAATGTTGTGAACCTTTTTCACCGTCAGGTTCCACCTTCCTATGTTGTCTTGGCGTAGCATCACATAGTCGTCGTGGTAACGTGAGATGAGCTGTCCTTCACAATAATCACAAGTGAGGCTGAGAAAATGACACATCTGTGCCATGCTGCTAGCCCCTGAGGGAACCTCGACGCCCTATACATACCGACTCCTTGCACGTATCATGAGGTAGTGTTAGGGCCGTGGGCCTCTTAGTGGATAGTGGCCATGGACTCACAGATGGCGTCTTGAAGATGAACAGGCACTTACGTTGACGCAGTTTTCTCGCCTGGGGCGAACGTAGTCAATAGTATGTGGATCTTCAAGGTGAAGCTGCCGTCGAGATCACCGCCTATCTTCAAGGCGTGCTACATGGCTAGAGGCTTAATTAACATAAGGAAGTTGACTTCTTCCAAACCTTTGCCCCTACCCCGAAGATTGAGGACTCTTCGGGTTTTACTTCACGTTGCAGCACAGCGAGATTATGAGCTGCACTTCCTCGACTTCTCATTGCCTTTCTTCAGGGCCACCTACACGAGGAGATATGGCTGCCCTGTCCTCTTGGCTTCACTGGCGCTTTCCCACCTAAGACCCAGTGGAACCTGAGGCGACCAGTCTACGATCTCTGCCAAGT